CTTTGTATCCGTCTACAAGAAGAAACCATAAAGGAAGGTCAGAAATAGCAATAAAGGGTCGAGCAATTTTGAAGTTCGTGCAATATACCCCTGGTTCCCTCGACACCTTAGGGCAGTATAATCCATCATACTCGGGCCTATCTCCTTTCTCCCAACTGCCGTTGAACATGACTAGATCCTGGACATAACCCTTGTCCGAGTCCGACATATGTGTCACCAGGTACATAGAAGTGTCCCTAACTTGAAGGTAGTATCTACTCTCGGTGACTAATTTTAAGTTGTAGCAGAACAAGATTTTGTCTACCCCCAAGTGTACCCCCAATCGAGCATTTAGGGCGACTACGCCCATGACTACTCTAAAGAAATTTATGCCGCACTGTAGGAGGAAGAGCCTCAAATGCATTAACATCCTCAACAAGAGGGAATGGAGGGGGAATGTAACTCCCCCTTCCATTATGGCCTTCATATAGAAGGGCATAAACTCTACACACACTATATCTCTCCTATGGGAGACGGGATCAAAGGGAAAGGTAAAAACGGGCTCAGGAATGTGGTATTTTATCCTAAAGGCTTGGATATTGGATTCTTGTACCTCGGTCTTCCTCAACCTACGGTTGTTCCTAGCCCTGGTAGGTTCCCTCACCACTGTTCTACGTATTCTAGCCATGAATGGAGTCTAGAAGAAATGTAGAAGAAGAAGAATGGGAAAATGAGAAAGAAAGTCGAGAGGGGAAAGTATTTACAGGTTGAAGATCTTCGAGACGGGTGTTGGGGGGGAATAAGGATGGGTGCTCAGGAGATTAAAGAAGAATGTTCGGGAGTTAATTGTTGACAGGAAGTTCGAAGATGCAAAGTCTGCAAAGGGCCAAACGATCTCCTATTTATACCTTGTAGTAGGAGCGGGAACCAAAAAGGCAAACCATCATTTGGAGATTTGAAAAGGGCAGCGCCGGACGCGCAAGTAACCACCCCTATAAACCAAGCATGTTCAGCAAGCCTCCACTCTCATAACGCCACTTGTCCCATGCCGCAAAGAAAATGGAGGTTAGGGGGTAGTTGACGAGACTTTAAGTGGCTCAGCAGCCTCCAAATCGACACGTGGAAAGATGTAGTTGTTGTGGAACTCAAAAGGTGCCGAGAGGTGGCACCGAGGAGTAACGATTCGGAGGAGCCGAGTACACCTACTGACACCTGCTCGTACCAATACTAACTTTTCATTTCATGTTCCTTTTTTTATTGAAAGTTGCAAATTTTTTAAGAAAAAGTTGGCTCAAATTGATTTCAAATTGAGTAATTAAAGAAAAAATAATTTTTTTCTCTATTCCTATAGTATTAGTATATAATTTAGTAGTACAACTGGAATTTTATTTAAAAATTATCATTCTCTCCTTTTTAGAAGTAAAATTATCGTGAGTATGACTTTATTAGTTTTAATTCTAAAAACTTTTTTTTATGCAAGAGCAAGTTTACATTTATTCTCAATATTGTATAAGAAATAGATGCATTTGAAAAAAATATTTAGTTTGTATACTCCTTAATGTTTTCTATTGAAGTCTTGATAGGTGTCTATACAACTATTGCCACATTTTTAGTTCTAAAAATAAATCTAAGTTAGTGATATCAAAAAATTGATCACATTTCACAAAAATCTCAAGATTTTGATAATATCCTTTTAAGTTTGTGAGAGAAAAAAATAATTCTTTTAAATGACAAAAAATGAGAGAAATGGGAAAGGAGAGACTAACATGGAGATGCCATTGATTTTTTATTTTTTAATTTGAAGATGTAATTAAATGTAAATGAGTTAGAAAAAAGATGTCCAACTTATACACTTTAAATACATCTCAAAAGATTAATGGAGAAAAGGCTAGATTGATTATGATGTGCAATACAGAAGTAGGGAAATGGTTACCGGTAAGTCTTGAGTTATTTGTAGCTGTGAATTAGCATATAAAAAGAGAATAAAATATTTAAGAGTAATTCTATGGAAAACAAAAAATTTGATCTAATTTGTTGAGCTAATGATGTGATAACTGACATATTATTCTCTAATTTTTTGCAATATAAATTGTAGGCTACTATTTTGTATAGTCTTATTAAAGATCATAAACATTCTTTTGGTAAAATTGAAAATTGAAGACTAATCAAATTAAACAAAACATGTTAATAGATGCGTCTTGTATCTAGCTACAAAAACTTAACACTGCGTGTGGTATGCGGGATTAAGGATGGGAATGGAATATGCATTCTTTGGTAATGATGATTCCTATGTTTGGTTGACAGGGATTGAACTTCATTCCCATTCCTAAATATAGCTAATCCCACAAATTGTGGGATTAGGCATTACCAAATTTGGCCCAGTATTTCTCATTCCATTCCCATTCAAGAGTGCGCCATTCTGTTGAAAAAAAAAAATACAATCTCGTCTTTCCTTCCCGATCGTCGGTCTATACTCCTCCTCTGATCTCTCTTCTCTTTTTCTCACATCTTCTTATCTTCCTCACACATGCCATGACACTCCATCTTTCTTCTCATCCCCTCTCAATTACTGTCTTCCTCTCCCTCATCTCTCTGTGAAGTAAGGGTACGCATAAGTGGCCAGGAACAGCCTATATGAGCTCAGATCCGACCAATCCAGGTAATTACTTGTTAAATTTAGTCAGTAATTCTCAAATCCAAATTAGAATTTTTAGATTTTAGGATTTTTTTCGTCGTTTGAAATGTGAATCTATCTCTTAAAAACACTTTCCTTCAGTATATCAAATCGATTTTTTCCTTTTTAATTCGAGATATCGCAGTAGAGCTTTATGCATATGAAACCAATCACACCTATAGTTGGTGAATCATGACTCCTAAACTACCAGTAGGTATGACTCCTCGAATCAGAATCCTATAAAGAATAAACAATGATTAAATAAATGATTTAGCAGTCGAAACAAAGATTACGAATAGTATGGTCCAACCAATTCAGTTGACCTGCAAAGCAACCTGTTTATGTTAAGATAATGTGAAAGATAAGAGAGCCCAGTGTGATTGATTGGGTTGAGGCCATAAATATAGGAGCTCTCTGCTTTTGTTGTTTCTTGTGGTTTAATTAAATTTAATGTGTCTTATCATTTGTTTGCTGGGTTTTTTTTTTTGCCACACACTTGTAATTGGCAATTCTTGAGTCTNATGATTAAATAAATGATTTAGCAGTCGAAACAAAGATTACGAATAGTATGGTCCAACCAATTCAGTTGACCTGCAAAGCAACCTGTTTATGTTAAGATAATGTGAAAGATAAGAGAGCCCAGTGTGATTGATTGGGTTGAGGCCATAAATATAGGAGCTCTCTGCTTTTGTTGTTTCTTGTGGTTTAATTAAATTTTAATGTGTCTTATCATTTGTTTGCTGGGTTTTTTTTTTGCCACACACTTGTAATAGGCAAATCTTGAGTCATAAGAGGCACATTGTACACTGCAAACAAGGTGTTTGTCAAAATGCTGGAGAAAAAAACTAGATTTTATGAGCCTGCGGCATAAGGGACTAGATATGGAACTAGATTTTATACATATGAAATCATTCATACTTGTAATTGGCGAATTATGACCCATAAGGAACTCAATTTTTAAGAACTAGTGGAATGTTTTACAATGCAAACTAGGTGTTTGTCAAAATGCCTAATAGCAATTGACCTTCTTTTTGCCTTCTTGGGTGGGGATTGATGTCGCCTNACAATGCAAACTAGGTGTTTGTCAAAATGCCTAATAGAAATTGACCTTCTTTTTGCCTTCTTGGGTGGTAATTGATGTCGCCGCCAATTTTTTCAAATGTTGATTGGAGTGGTTAGGGACTTTTGGAGTGACTGCTTTTGTAAGAAATCTAGTATAAGTCAGGCAAATGTTGTTTGGAGTGGTTAGAGACTTTTAGAGTGTCTACCATCTGTAGATCTCGCTAGGAGCAGGTGGTACAACCTTTTTTAAATGAGGTCTTGCAGGATTTCACTTGCAACTAATGATTTTTTGCAATTTTTGTAGGCAATGTCTCAATACTAGTTTTGTTATTCGTGGGAATAATTCGAAAGTTCACTGCTTTCACACAACATGAAGATTAAGTAGAAAGATCTCTAGTGTGATCCATGCATAATGGTGACTAATTCATTGGAGCATCTGTTAGTTTATACTCCATCAGGCTATGTGATTCAACTAGAGCTTCTGCCATCAATTGAGGCAGAGCTAAATGAGAGTGATCCAACAACTTGGTCTGGCTCATATGTCCATTCCCCAGATGAGGAGTAAAGGTGAAAGTTGAATCTGTTCAATGGTGGGATATGAGTAGAAGATCACATTGCGAACCAAACACAACGTTAGAGTATGCAGGAAAGTTATGTCATTCCATAAAACAGAATATGTGCATATTTTATTTTAGATAGAAGAATCAAGAGGGTGTTAGTATATGTGTTTGAGAAGGCTAACCAAATTTCCATTAAAAACAAGAAATAATTATTTTTTATTATAATATTAATAAAACATTCGTTTACAAAAAAATAATATGATATATTATGGGAGGCCAAGTGTGCATATTTTCCATAAAACAGAATATTTGTATCTTTTACTCCTTAAAACAATTTGCACAACTACCTAACTTTACTCTTTTTTCCTTCCCACATTCTTTTATTTTAAACCCATCAACAATCTTACACATGAGAAAATTACAACCAAGGACGAAGTCAAGAAAAGTTTGCAAAAACTTTGACAAAAAAATTTGTAGGATTAATCCAAATCTTTTGAACCAAAAAGTGCTTTCAGAAGTATCAAATTAGATAAACTAAATATAGTTTTCACATTTTTTTAACAATATTAGGAGTTCAGACCTTTTCGGTCATATTTTATGTGGGTTTTTGTTTTACAAAAATATTGTCTTGGTCATGTTACAAGTATGATAAAGGGTGTGGATGGCATGTCAATGATACTATTTAGAATCTTAATAGTTTCTTTTACATACGAAAAATGAATAATGAAGACACCTGTGGAGTAGCATGCAAACCACAAAGAACAAGAGATTGTCTTGAAATATGATTGCAGATTTAATTGTTGATAATGTTCGTGACCAAACGTCTAGTTGACGTGTTTAGTGATTTTCTCACATCTTATGGTCTTGACGTATCTTATCACCAAACGTGGATAGGGGTGGAAAAAGTAAAGGGTATGCTTTTTGGGGATCATACATTGTCATACAAACAATTACATTGGTATATGGATGCTGCGAATAATACAAACCCTGGAAGCCACATAGTTTTGTATTGTGATGATGAGACTAACCGTTTCCATAGATTGTTTGTCCTTCAAGGCTGCATTGAAGGTTTCAATTATTGTCGTCCAATTTTATTCATTGATGGGACATTCATTAAAGGAAAGTACAAATGAAGCATTCTTTCGCCAATTGGGATGGATGATAATCAGGGTATAAGTCTTTTAACTCTTTTTTTTATGTGCGTCTTGATTTTGTATTTTATTTGTCGTATTTGGTCATTTTACTTTTTCTTAGTGTTTGATTTTTCGTAGGTACTGTATGATGTGGTTTGTATTTTCATTTTTATGCTTAATAAAAAATGGTGTTTATGCATATTTTTTTTTGTTAACTGTATACTGTAACTGTATAATATCTATATTATGTGATACTTAAGTAGTGTAACTGTATGTGTTTATTGTAACTATTTTAATATAACAGGTTGTTGTATATTGTTGTTATGATGTGAATCTGTAGGCTATTGTTTTAATATTTTACTTAACTCTATACATTTATCTTTGTGTTTCAGGATTATACCCACTAGCATTTGCGATTGTTGACTCAGAAATGAGGCAAATTGGTTATGGTTCTTACAACAACTGTCAGAGATTTTGGATCTGAATAGGGAAATTACATATGTCTTTGATGGTAATGTTGGTTTGTTGGAAGCCATGCCAAAGATTTTTCCAAGGTGTCACCATGCTTTCTGTTTGCAGAACTTGAAGGTGAACTTGAGGGACAAGTTCAGTGGTAGTCGGTATTCAAATGGATTTAAGGAGCATATGGTGGTGTTGTTGCGTGAGTGTGCTTATGCTCCCACCATTTCATTGTTTACCCAAAAAATTGAAACTTTCTGACATGAGGGTGGATATATTGTCGAACGTTTTTTGGATAATTTTCTATACGAGCATTGGGCAAATTCATACTTTAGAGGTAGATGTTACAGTGAGATGAACTCTAATGCAGTGAAGTCATTCAATTCGTGGATAATGAAAACACAACATTTACCCATTATGAGCATGATTGACACTATCAGGTGTCAAATTATGAATTAAATGGGTGCTAGGATGAACATTGCGTGTGCATGGAATGAAAATTTATGTCATGAGATGGATTCAAGATTACAAGTTGCATTTACCGAAAGCAGGTCTTGGTCTGTTAGTGTTTCGAACAATGATGTGTATGAAGTTAATTCAAATCCGTCTATTTTAGTTGACATTCAGAATGACACGTGTTCATGCTTTTAATGACAGATTAATGGGTTCCCTTGTTCTCTTGTTCTCATGCAGCAGCAGCAATACATAAGAGTGAGAGAAATATGAACGAATTTGTTGATTATTATTATCATGTTAGTACATATAAGAAATTATACGCTCAACCTATATTCCCAATCTCGACTATTGGTCCATTGGACTACAATGTTGACGAAGCTGAGATTTTGCCACAATCAACAAAGAAGCAGCCGGGCTGACCAAAAAAATGTAGAATTAGGTCAATGGGAGAACTTATTAGACGAATTCGATTTAGTCATCATGGACGGTTAGGTAGTCATAACAAGAAAACTTGTAAAGAATCCTTGTAATTGGATTATTATTTTTAATTAATAAATTTGTTATTTTAATATTTTTTTTTTCAGTTGTTTTATTTTGTAGTCGTTCTTTTATGGATATGTTAATATGGAGGTTATAATATGGGTGCAACTTTCTATATGATGAGTAATGTTTTGGGGATGACTGAACATTGTAGCAAAACATGAATATATCCATAATTTTTGTTTTATACAATTGGGATGAAGGGAATAATAATAATATGGGAAACCAGTTAATTGTAATTTTAAAACTTTCTTAATGTCATTTTAATGACTAAAATCAAAACTGGAAAGAGTTACACAAAATATATATAATTAACAGTAACTTTATATACATGTTACACCAAATAGTTACATGAAACAGTATCGCCAAACAAACAGTAGTGCCAAATGGTTATCCCAAACATATTCTCCAAACTGCTTAAAACAATAGATCACATGAAAGAGTTGCATCATTTTTTTTTACAACTAATCAACACTTTATTTCATTCCTCAAAAAAATAATTCCAACGAAAGAAAAGGCAAACAAACCCTGCCTTATTCCCAATCCAATCAACAGAGAAAGAAAAAAAACAATGATCAACATGCATCATTTTTCTTTCGTCAACTTCTGCAGCCCTTGTTTATCTTGAAGCATCAGCATTTTGGCTCACAAAGGAAGCCTGAGATCATGAGAGAAGTCTGTGGAGAAGCCATCCCTCACTGCCTGGAACCCACATAGGACAACTAATTTCCTCCAAATAACAACAAAATAATCACACTGAATAAACACATGCTCTACAGATTCCACTGCATGGCCACATAATACACATTTACTTGCTAGCATCACCCCAAACCTTTGAAAATTTGGATCAACTAACACAACATTTTTATATATCTTCCAACCTAGAAGCCTTGCACTAGGACAAGCAGCCTACTTCCAAATTATAGAAGCAACTCTAAACATGTTACATCAAACAATTAGTACAAAGTAGTTAAGATTTCATCATGAATAGGTTCACAAAATACTAGAAAGCATTTTAGGCAACCAATGTTTATCATATGATTTGAAATTCCATATGATAAACAATATCCATTACATACACCATACAAAGTGTTCATTTAATGATTCCCAAAAAATACAACAACATCTCAAATATGACTATTCATATATTTTCTTCAATTTCATCCTTTCGTGGAAATCATTTAGTGTCCAAGAATTGGAATGGTTTAAGAACAATTTCATCATTTCTGTCCAAAATTTTTTCAGTTGTGCAGCTGCCAACTTTTCTTGTATGTCTTCGTCCTTTGCAAGTTGACTCATTATGTAACAAACGAACACTCGACAATCGAATCTACAGAAAAGGTTTTGTTACTATCATTTCTTTGAATTTGTATGAATTAAAGTTAAAAAGTAATACATACGAATTTGCCCCTTGTTGTGGAATTTTTACATACGATGTCATTGAAAAAACATTGTCCGAGGGGTCAATGTCAATTCCATTAGCCGCTTGCATTTCACTAATTTTTTGTTCAACATAATCTTTCTGGATTTTTTCAATGATAGATGTTAGTGATGGATATGATATTGCAAAATTTTTAAAAAATGGGTTTTAGTTGTTTTTTTACCAATATTCTTGCATCCTCCAGCCACACGTCCTTCCTCACTTTTCGTGGTTTCATAGAATTGTAGTGTATCCAAGATCCAACGTCAATATCCAACACTAAGACTATCCAATGCCAAGGTTCTACAAGGTTGTTTTGACCATAGTAATTCATGGGAAATACAAGGAATTGACGATCTCTTCCAAAAAATGTGAGGTTTTTGTCAATTTGGTCTTTTGCATAAATCCATATTTTTTTGTAACGAAGGTCTACAAATATTCCATTTTATGGACAATTAAAATGAAATATAACGACATTGAAATAAAAAAAAATATTTCAATAAATTTTAATGTACCCAACATAGACTGTTGAAGAAGAAGCAACGTTTTTTATATGTTGACTGCTCGTTATTTACATCAAGTTCATGCAGCATATCTCCCCAACAATCTATGATCTGTTACAATATATAAAACGACATCCAAAACAGAGTGAGTAAGGTTTTTCAAATGCAACATATGTGGACTTAACAATTACACATACAGACCAATGTTGAAACATGGACAAATTAAAAAAATAGGAAACAGTCACACATAACAGATGCAAGCGAATTAGATATTAAATTGTTTAAATTCGATACAAGATGCAAATTATACTTGGTGCTATCTAACAAATTATAGGAAAACATTTTGAGTCGTACAATACTGTGATGTGGACAAAAAAATATTTAAGTGTAATAGGTACATTATTGTACAGTTCACATCTTCCCATCAGTTTCAACGTGTCTTCAACATTTATGTAGCTTCCAATTGAAACACCAGACCAAATGGGTGTCCTACATGGTCAGAGCACAATCATATATGGTAAGTTCATAATTTGTATAAAAGTAGAATGAGTAAATCCACGGATTTTAATAAAGTAACTATAGCATAATCATAATACGTAAATGTTAGAATATATAATATACGTATGTAGGTCCTTTTGTATCATTGATTTTTTTTAATTGATCATAGATAGACGGATTCGATGTCTGACAAATCTTCCACAACGTTGCAATTTCCTTATCGTGTTTCTCTTTTTCTTTCGTTGCACTAATCTTTTCTGCTTCATCCGCAAAGGTGATAATTGAATGTGAATTCTCAATGTGTCCCTTGTCCCTTTTCTTATTGCTATACTTGTAATCCTCGTATCTTTTTATCTTCCTCTCCTTAGTCTTTAGCTTTCGAACCATTGACGTTTGACCAATATCTGCACTGTCATTAGGCTTAGTGGTGCGGTGTGCAAATTTTGAGTGATGTTGAGAACTGTCGACTCGCTTATTTGATCTACTAATTCTGCATTTTCAGTTTCTAATATTTTGACATTCTCTTTTAATGTCACATTTTTTGCCTCAATCGCGTCTTTTTCAATACGCATTGTATGAACCAATGTCTCAAGTTGCACGATTTTTGTGTCTCTATCAACTATTTGCAACATAGAATCTGTCATTTGTGATGTGTGAACATTATAATCGGATGGAATGTCCCGTTACACTTCAGCTTGGTGCATGAAATCATCATGAAAATCCTAGTTAACCAATATTGTAAACAATTACCAAAAACAGTTACATCACAAAGTTACATACAAAACAATTACACCATAAAGTTACAACATATTAAATAGTACAAGAGTTACCCCAAAACAAACCATCAAAAATAACAAACAATTAATCAAATATGTACCAAAACGATTGCACCGCATAGTTTACTATCTAGAAAAAAAAAACTTACATCCAACAGATACCAAAAGTGTTGAACCATATAGTTAACATGTTAAACCAAAAACAATTACACAACACAGTGCTGAAATAGTTACACAAGCATAAGTACCAAATAGATGCACCTAATAGGTAACTAACTATACAGAAACAGTTATACCAATCAGGTATAATATAGTTACACACAACAGGGATCACAAAACTATGCAACAAATTCCCATAGAGTTACAACAAGAAAAGGTGTGAATATTAAACAAAGAAAAGACATTATAACATTTAATTTTATATATACCTTGTGATGCCCCATGTCAACAGTGTCTTGCACGCGTCTTTTTAATGCTTCATTCTCATTGGACAACTCGACAATCTTTTTTTGGTTGAATTTATCCTTTATCATCAACTCAGAAACAATCCTTTGAACTTCATCTCTTTCTCTTAGAATGTTGTCCTTTTCACTATCATTCCAAACATCATGTTCTCTTGATTGCCTTTCTGTTGGTTGGGTAACATTCACTTTAACTAAGTCAACCAATTGTCTCATTTCATTTGACCATTCATAATCACCACTTGATGGCTTGCCAACACCATTTTCTTCTGTGTCAAGTTGTTCATTGTCATCTAACTCCT